AAAGAGATCGGGCAAACGTCGTAGTCCGGCTTTCTTTTTGCCCGCAGCGCCGCGTGTTTAGCCAGCTCGTCAGCTCGTTCATTTTCCGCAAGACCCGCATAGGCTTTATCCAGAAGAGTTTTAATGTTTTTTGTTACCTTAAGATGTTATAAATTTTTTTGCGGGTCTTGACTGCTAAAGAGTGTTGAGAGTCTTGGTCCACAATTGTCTCCAGAGCAGACATAGAGTCACTGTAGACCCCGAAAGTTGTCTCCGCGCTAGAGAGAATCCGCTCAGTTGCCATGTATATGGCCAGTAATTCCGCCTGGTAAACGGTACAGTAGTCCGACAGTTTGAGTTTCAGAGTTTGGGTCTCACCAGCATTATTCCAAAAAGATAAAGCCGCTCTGACCTTTCCCTTTATTTTACTCCCGTCGGTGGTTAGGTTAGGTTAAGTTAGGTTCCACCCGAACGGGTTCCCGCCTTGTCGTGGCAGGGGGCTTAGAAGCCGTGGCTTGGTCACCCACGGCGAAACAAAGAGGAACCCACATGGCTGGTCCGAGGTGAAGGGCCGGCCCGAGGTGGCCACTCCGAGTGGGCTTGGGAAGCCCACTTCGGATGTGTGTTGGTGTACTGCGGTGAGGGGGGTGTCCGCACCACCTACCGCTGCAGCCGAAGTGGAGTCGCGGAGGAAGAGGAGTGTTGGTATGGCGATGCGCCACTCGCCCTATCCTCCGCGACTCAAACGGGGCCGCACCGTTGATGCGGTGGTGGTGGGGCTGCGGGGTGAGAGGATTGTTGGTATTGCGAGGCGCCGCTCTCCCTAGCCTCCGCAGCCGAATCTTGGTTGGCGGCGGAGTCATAGACTAGATCCGCCGCTGGGGTCGGGAAGGCTAGTACTTTTAAGTGCTCGTTTTTCCTGGCCCCATGGCCTTCGTGCATCGGACGCGGGGGCGTCTGTTGCGCAGATGTGATTGGAGGCCGTGGAGGAAGGCGCGCCATGTGTTCTGGTGCGCCTTACTTGGGAAGGAGAACGGGAAGGAATATTCGTCTCCCGAGGAGGTGCTGCCATGGGGTGGCAGGCGCTGGTAGGGCCGCGGATGTGTGCGAAAGCGTTCCCGTGGCCCTGCCAATATGCGACGAAGGTGGAACACCATGGGGTTTTAGTCGGTGCATGTCCGACATAACCCGTCCTTGCCCCCGCGAGGCTGGTATGCGTAGGCATTTCCCCATTTAAAAAAAAGGTTAGGTTAGGTTAGGTTTTTTTAAACTGCTGCTATACATGCAGCATCCTTTATTACTGTTGTTTTTTTCCAAAGTATTTTTTTCACTTTTTTTTGTATATATATATTTTTTTCTTAATTACTAGATATTCTTTTCTTACATATCATTTAACTATGGCACAATTTTAACTTATTCGAGGTTATTTTGCTTATTATCTTTTCTTTTTTTACTATCATATCTCTTAAATTTGTTTTTCTTAAAATTATTGATGTATTTGTTTAAATCTTACTACTATACATCAATACTCGTAGTTTATGGCTTTATCGTTCTTACATAATTTTCCACTCTTAAATAAAGTTTCCTTTATTATATATCATTCTAAAATAATATATAGCATATAGTAACGTTCTGTTAATATAAGTTAATCATTTAACTATTGTACAAATTTAAATTATTTAATGTTGTATGCGAATATAAAGTTTCCTTTAGATTATTCTAAAATAGTATATAGCAAATAGTGATGTTCTGTTAAGTTATTTTGTGTTACCCATTTTCTTATAATAATTTATGCAATGTTATAAGCAAATTTTTTTACATACTTGTTTTAATTAACATTATACATTACACTATCTTTGTGGTACATTTGGTTGTTTTATCTATATAATGCTTATCAACTTATATTCTAACTTATACAAGTTTGGATCCATTTGCCTTACCCGCAGAGCCTACAACTGCTTCTGAAAACTTAAGGTAATGGGTCCGACACTCATCGTTGTTAATTGCATTTCTTAAATTATTAATAGTGAGCGCCATCCCCATCTTTTGTTCACAGTCAAGTCTTTGTATAGCGAATCTAGGACAGTCAATGAATAGATGTTCGATATTTTCTTCTTCGTCGTTACTGCAAACACAAGATGGAGACTGCGCTAGCTTATATTTATATAAATAAGCCTTAAAACCTCCATGACCAGTTAGTAGTTGTACTTTGAGATTATCTATTTTTATATGCTTGAGTGTTCTATACGCTTCTTTTATGTCCGGTAGAAATGTCTTTGTTACAGCTCCCGTAGTTGCTGCACTATATCGTAGCTGCCACTTGCTGCAAGTAGCGTCCCTGGCAAGACGCTTCGCGAAGGACAGGGTGAATTTATCGTAAGCTGGAGTTTGCTTGTTGGAAAGTGCGGCTTTTTTCGCCAGTTCATCGGCTCTCTCATTACCGGCTAAACCGATGTGTGCTTTAATCCAGCAAAGCTTAACCTCGCCACCTTTGTCTAATAGTGACTATATTCGTCCCGTATTTCCACAGCTAATGGGTGCATAGATGATGTGTCACTCAGGCATTCTAAGGCAGAGCGTGAGTCGCTTAAGATGACGCCTTTCTTTAGGTCTTTGTGTTTGTGCATCAGATCTAGTGCTCTTAAAATTGCCGTGAACTCGGCTTGGTAAACACTGCAGTAATTTTCCAGCCTAAAGGTCGATTTTCGTATTTCCTGATCGTTCTTCCATATTGTCACAGCTCCTCCGACTTTACATTGAATCTTACTTCCATCAATGTATAATTTTGGTGTTTGGAAGTCAATCAAACTTTCTTCTTCTTCAGAGGTAATAATCTCAAAAAGTATACGATGCCTATCGGCTGGATATGGTAGGTAAAATGGATTCACTGGTTTTTGCAAATTCTTCCTGGAAGTTGGGTTAGGGGCTTCCCTCGTTTTATTTCATAGAGTTTTAGATGTTCTATTGTTCTAAGGTCCAAAGGAAATATTCCCGCTAGTAGAACACTGGAAGTAAAGGAGACTGTTCTACGTCCTTTACAGATCGAGACAGCAAACATTCTTGTGATACGGTCAAGTTTCTTCTTCACATACTCTTTCTTCGCCATTGCGGCCCAAACACTTGCCGCGTAAAGGATCGTAGGTTCTACTACTGCTATGTAAATAGTTTTTATTATTTCGGAGTTTAGTCCCCATTGTGCTTTTGCTGTTCTAGCCACTTTTTTATATGAATTGTTGGCTTTCCTAAGGGCTTCATTAATGTGTTCTGTGATTCTTAAATTTTTGTCAATTGTGACTCCAAGTACTTTTAGACTTGCTGATGGTTGAACATAAACATTATCCATTCTTATTTGCGGTAGTTCTGGAGATAGTTTTTTAGTTATTATAACTGCTTGTGTTTTCTGTGGTGCAAATTTCAACTTACGGGCTTTACCCCATGCAACTATTTGATCCAAGGCTGGGTTCAGTTATTCCTCAATGGATTTTGCTGAGTGACCTTTTGCGATGACGAGTACGTCGGCAAAAGCCTGAACGTGTACTTTCAGATGTGATGTAATTTCGAGGAGTGGATCCAAGAGAATATTCGAAAATATAGGCCCACAGGTTAATCCCTGAATACACCCCTTGGTGGTGGATTTAGTAACTACTGCACCTGCATATTTTAACGATATATATCTCGAAGAAAGGTAACTGGTAATTAATCTCAGAATATCTTGGTTCACTTGTTTTCTCTGTATTTATTTTATTATTTGAGGCCACCACGCATTGTCAAATGCCCCTTCTATATCCAGGAATACCACAACAACAACCTTTTTTCTATGAGCCGTCTTCCGTACTGCGTTGCGACATAAATCCGTATAGTCGGCTGTTAAGTTTACCTTCTTTACCCAATTGCCAAAGAAGCCTGGTTACAAAAAGTTTCTCTAATATCTTTCCGAATATTGGAAGTAAGCCAGTAGGGCGGTAGGCTTTGGGTACTGTGTAGTCCTCTCTGTTAGGTTTTGGGATAATTTTTATTATAGCTTTTTTCTAGGTTTTAGGGAATTAACCTATTTCGAGACTCTTATTATAGATAGCCATTAGTGCTGAAGGTATGGTCTTATAAGACTGATAGCATATATTCGAGGTGATGGCATCCTCTCCCGGTGCTTTCTTAGGATCCATTTTATCTAAAACAGCTTCTATTTCTAATTCTGTAAAATTACGATGGGAAATGGTCGTGTTTTTTCTTAGTTCATTAGTGATTTTGTCCGTTTCTTCTCGAATTCTGGTTTGTTCTTCAGTGTCTTTGTTTTTCTCATCATCTGGGTAGAAATTTTTTGCCAATAACATAGCAGAGTCATTTGCGTTGAGAATTTCATCGCCTAATTTCAGCAGTTTGTCTTCGTTAGTTGCACTACATCTTTTAATTATTCTGTATATACTTTGCCATACAATTTCTTTTTCTTGTTTGGTGCATAGTTCTTTCCAACTAGTAGTTATTGCTGACATTATATTATTAACATACTTTTATTTTGCCTCCACGAAATCCTGAATAACGTGCGGTTTACGTCTTTTATTGGCAAACTTTATTTTTCTTCGAAGTTGTATAACTATACGTCGTTCTGTTTCTAACTGTGCATTCCACCAAGGTGCACAAGTTTTATAAACATTTTTAGATATAGTTGGTATTGATTTCTGGCTTGCTAATTTTAATTGTTTGACATATATGTCTACGATATCTTCCAATTCCTCTGGTGTTTTTATTGTTTTTATTTTACCCTCTATTACGTTTTCCTTTTCTAGTCTTTCTTTCAGGTCGCTTCTGAAGAGAGACCAGTTTGCCTTAGCTATATTAAATAATCGGGTGAAATTCCTTAGCACGACGTTCTGTTTATCAATATTAATTCTCATTTGAAACTGTATGGCTTGATGATAAGATAGTGTGACAAAATCAGGGTCCACCCTCCATCTTTCCATCTTGTGTAGGATCGCCGACGTACAACAGGTTACGTCCACTATGCTGCTGTGTAACTTTCCTCCTCAGTATTGGTAAAAGGTGGAGTCACTGCCCTGATTCAAGACATTCATATCCAGTTCAGCTATCATTTCCGATAAAAGTAAACCCCTCTCGTTCTCAGCTCTGCTCCCCCACCAGAGACTCCTTGCATTAAAGTCGCCTGTTAGAATGACGTTTTCCGTGTCCATATCTTGCAAAATTCTTGTTATCTTCCTTATATCATCTTCTATGTTACCGTCTTTCTCTAAATACGCATTTATAATGCCTACTACAAGTTTTCCTATTTTAACTATAAATCCTACAATATTTTCGCTAACATGCTCTGGATTTTCTAAGATTAAGTAGGTTGGATCAACAACGATGACTGCCGATTTAAGCGGTTTATCTCTATTACTGGTAGTCTTTTGAATTACGCGACGATTACACGTTACATGTGATATTGCACCTACATATGGTTCTCGCAGTAGAAGCAACGTCACGCGTTGTCTTATTGCCATGTGAAGACATTCTTTAAACGCTGCCATTCCTCGGCTAAGATTTACCTGTACTAATTTGGTAGTTTGTGTATCTGCTGAGTTTGAATTTGATGCATTATCAGCAGAGGAGTGTGTACTTAACCGTGATTGCTCGATGTTAATACCCTGATTAATCTTAGCAATATGCTACCGAGGACCTGGCTATGCGATCCCATTTCTGCCACACTGAACATTCATTGCTGTATGCTATATGACTCAGGTCACCTACAATTTTGTTTTTAGTGCAGTTTGCGCAAGTTGGTGCTCCATTACTGCGTGGACATTCTCTGCTGTCATGGTCCTCTGCGCAATATCAGCATGTTGATTTATCTGCCCGACACTCTCTAGCCTATGTCCAAATCCCGTACATCGGTAGCATTGCACAACAGGAGATTGGTCCAGGGCGGGTACTACTTGGTATCCCACATGCAGTCTTTGGTATTTCAGTGCCTTCCAGACCTCAGGGCTTACTTCTAATATTATATTGTTAATTGCCGCCTTTCTCCCCTTAATGCGTCTCAAGACCTTAGTCTTAATCTTTTCTATTTCGATGTGATTAGGCGCTTCATGTTTTGGTTAACTAATGCCTCTTCTAGTTTTATATTGTTTAGATCATTAGCTACTCCTATTAATTTAAGTAGAGGGTTTTTAGCTGTTGACTTTGAGACCGTAAGCTTCTGGTTCGTTTTTTATTGCATTTTGAAGCTTTTGCCGGTCCTCGTCATTTTCGCATGATAGAAGCACCCTCTGATTTCTAACCCTTCTTATATTGTTAATACCTACTCCAAGTTGTACCACATCTATGTTGTTCTTTACAACATCATCGCTTGTATGTCTGGGATCCGAAGATTCAACTACAAGAGCAAACCGTGGTGAAGTAAGTGCTTCTGCATAAGTCTTTATTGGGCGAGTGGCTTGTTGTTCTTTTATTAGGACATTTTTGGGACTTTCCGTTATTTGGTTTATTATGGTGCTACAGTTATATGTCTCTATCTATCTAGATCAGCGGTTCTCAAACTTTTTTGGTCACGGAACCCTTTTGACAAGCAAAATATTTGACGGAACGCTACAATAATACAATAGTTTTTAAAAGTGTATTCTTTATTATATAAGCATAATAAAAGTACAATGTAACAGTTACTAATTATTACTTACTTTACCACATGGCAAGTACAATAATAGAAGATATTAAAAATGAAAAAAAACCTTAACTAATGGGAGGTATGAAACTGTTTTTTATTTTTCATCAATTGGTTGATATCAGGTTTGATAGAAGACATTTGAAGTCTCATATCGGGTTCGGCGTCCAGTCTATTGCGATATTTTGTTTTCATGGCTGCATAGGTTGAGAATCCTGTTTCGCACAAATATGTTGTTGAGAACGGGAGAAGAATATTCAGACCTATTCTGCTAAGCATTGATATTCATCACGGATTCTGTACCAAAAATCGTAGAGAGGCGTCATTTTGAACAGTGACTCTTTACTTGTGTCTGATGACATTTCTAAAAGAAATTCATATATCTTGTTTGACATACTTTCGGGCTTTTGCTAGTTGGGTAAAAAAGGATTATGAATCCATGAATTCAGCTTCATTTTTGTATTCTGTTCTTTGGGGAAATTATTTTTCAAACACATCATCTTGAAACATTTCTGAGTCGCTATCGTTAACAAACTCACTGAGTGACGTAAAGCTTTCTATTTCTCTCTTACCAACGCAAATAATCCAAAAATGTAATTTTCTTTTGAAGGCAGTTATTTTGTTATAGGCCTGGAACACTGTTGTCTGTTTACCTTGCAATGATAAATTCAGTTCGTTCAGTAGGTTAGGTTAGGTTAGGTTAGGTTAGGTTAGGTTTTTTTTACTCAGTTCATCTGCTGTTATTTCTTTTACAGCACCTTTGATCTCTTTCTTTTTTTTATCTATTTACTTTTACTAGGTTTTTTTTTAAATTATTAACAGTATTCCACCGTATTTTATCTTACATGGTATTTAGAGCTTTACATAACTGTTATTCTGCAAGTACTTAAAAACTTACAAAGCTTCAAACAAAAACTTAAGAAGGGCATGATAATCTACAGTTTGACTACACTATTATTGTAACTACTAATACACGATTAATGCTTATTGTTTCTAAATCTACTTAATACTATGGTTTTATCTATTTAAAAGTTTCTATGTAATGTATTAATCAATATTATACGTGGATTGTGTACTACACAATATTTTATATTTGTTTTTTCTTTTTATTAACAAAATTCTACCGTATTTTATCTTACATGAACTTTAGAACTTTACATGACTGTTCTTCTGCAAGTGCTTAAAAAGTTAGGTATAAAGCTTAAAAGAAGAGCATGATAATCTACAGTTTTACTACACTATTATGATAACTACTAATACAATACTAATACTTATTGTTTCTACGGCTACTTACTACTACGATTTTATCTATTTAAATGTTTCTACGGAATATATTAATCAACATTATACGTTAACATTAATCAACATTGTACTACACAATATTCTGCATTTTTTTAACATTTTCGTAACAGCTATTTGATTAATCTGTACTACTCAGAATTCTTATCTGCTGCTACTAGTACAGGCATTAGAGGCTAGTATACTTTAGATCCATTTTCCTTGAGTACCTTTTTCAAACAATTTTCAGCAAAATCAAGGAATGTCATTGTCGTTGATAGCCTTACAAAGTGTAGTTTCATTTAGTGCAAAGCCCATGCGGTGTTCGCAGCTTATTCTTTGTACTGAATATTTGGGACAAATCTATTAGCACATGTTCAATTGTTTGTGGTGTTGACAGGTCACAGTCACAGAATGGGCTCTGCGTCAGTTTAAATTTACATAGATACGCCTTAAAACCTCCATGTCCAGTAAAAATTTGGCATTTCATATTATTTATCTTGATATTCTTCATGGTTTTGTAAGCTTGCTTAACAGTTGTGAAGAACTTCTTTGTCACTTGTCACGTTAGTGCTGTTGTATATATTTCTTGCCAACTAAGCAAAGTTTTGTCCCTGATGGAGCGCTTTGCGAAAGAGAGAGGAAAACAGTCGTACACTGGAGTCTGCTTCAGTGTCTCCGCGGCGGACTTTGCGAGCTCATCTGCCCTCTCGTTGCCTGGAATGCCGCAGTGGGCTTTGATCCAAAAGAGTCTAACTTTGCCTTGATTGCTTTCTATTTCTCGCATACGTTCCAGAATTTTTGCTGCGAAGGGGTGTAGTACATTAGGGTTAGTGAGACTTTCCAGCGCCGATTTAGAATCACTGAGGATGTTTGCCATTTTTAGTGTTTTGTTGCTTAGGATTATTTCTGTGGCTTTTAGTATAGCTGCTAATTCTGCTTGATATACACTACAATGATTGCCAATGTTTTTTTTTTTCGTCTTTCCAGCAGGTGATAGCCGCTCCCACTTTACCTGTAATCTTGCTCCCGTCGGTATATATGCAGGGCCAGTCATTTCCGATAGAGTCAAGATCTTCCTCTCCTGTTATTAAGTAATAAGGTTGGTTCACGCGTTTAGCTGGATGAGGTAGTGAGTACGGACTTACAGCTTTTGCTAGTTCCCTGCCTGGTAATTGTTCCAGTGGTTTCCCCCTTTTTAATTCTAAATAGGTCGGCGTTTTCTTGTGCTCTTAGGTCTAGGGGAAGAATTCTAGCTAAAGTGGCCCATGAAATTAAAGAAGAAGCGCGGTATGCTTTACATATCAGTATACTGAAAGTTCTCGTTATCCTGTCAAGCCTAGTTTTTATTTGTTTCTTATTTGCCACATGTCCCCATACACTTGCAGCATACAATACGGTTGGTTCTACTACAGTTATGTAGATTGTCCTAAGAATTTCAGGATTCAGGCCCCAGTTTGTTCTTGCTGTTTTTGCCACTTTTTTATAAAGTTGGATTGCTTTTTCAGTTACCCTGTCTACATGTTTAAGGAAATTTAGGTTGGCGTCAATTGTGAGTCCAAGTATTGTTATCGTGTCAGAGATAATTATTTCCGTTCCTCCCAGTACTATCTTTGGATTTTTGAATTTCGTCTTTTTCGTTATCAGAATAGCTTGAGTTTTCTGGGGTGCCAGTTTCATTTTTTTTGCCCTTTTCACGATGTGGTTTAGTACTGGGTTTATCTCATTTTCTAGATCTTTTGCTGATTTTCCTTTCGCTATTATCGTTATATCGTCTGCGTATGCTTGAATGTATGTTCCTAGACCTTCAACTTCTGTTAGTAATGGGTCGAGCTGCAAGTTCCACAGCAGGGGTCCGCAGGTAGAACCCTGTATGCAGCCTTTGTTAGTTTGCTTTATCACCTCATGATTGCCAGCGTAAGTGAGTTTTATTTCGCCTGTCCAGTAGGTGATAGCTGCTTATTAACCTGCATATTGATCGTCGTATCTACTTTCGGGTTATTTTCGTAGCTCGTTTATCATTCCGGGCCACCAGGCATTGTCGAATGCGCCCTCAATATCAATGGAGATGACGACCACAATTTCCTTTTGTTTTAAGCCTTGTTTTACAATTTCGAGGGCATCATACAGGGCGTCTTCTGTACCGCGCTGGGCGACAAAACCATACTGCCGCTCGCTCATTTTATTATCGGACCATAATTGCCACATCATTCTATTTACAAATAGCTTCTCTAGTACTTTCCCAAGGACTGGTAGAAGGCCAATTGGTCTATAAGACTTTGGGAGGGTATAGTTTTCCTTATTTGGCTTTGGAATCACTCGAATTATCGCTCTTTTCCAAACTTTAGGGAAATGCCCAAGTAGAAGGCATTTAGTGTATATGGCTAGTAGGATTTGTGGAGCCGCCTTATAGGCTCTGAAGCATATGTCAGATGTAAGGCCGTCTTCTCCAGGCGATTTCTTAGGGCTCATGCTTTTAAATATTTCTTCAATTTCAGTGTTGGTGAATGGGATTATTACATCTTTATTCTGGTTATTGTCCCACTCTTTCCTGTATTTGTTCGTCTGATTGGATGTCATCGTTAGGGTAGAAAGTATTTGATAAGAGCTGTGCAGATTGTTTTGGGGTCGTGATCTCACTAGTTGCTGTTTCCCGTAATAATGTGTCTTCAGGAGTTTTGTAAGATTTACGTATCACCCTGTAAATACTTTGCCACATATTCTCCCGGTCTTGCCTAGTACAGAATTCTTTCCAGCTCGATGTTATAGCTTCTTCAAGAAGATTTTTGTATTCTGCTTTGGTTATAAGATATTCCTCAATTACTGTCTGTTTCCTGTTTTTGTTAGCAAATTTAATTTTTCTTCTTTTTCGTATGAGTTCTTTTTTCTTTTCGTTTAATTCCTTTGTCCACCATGGTGTCTTTGAGGGTATTCTTTGAGATAACTTTGGGATTGTTATATCACAAGATTTTCGCAGGCATTCAACGTACTGCATGATAAAGTCTTCTAAGGCCCATGTTGTTGCTATGTTCATAGTTGCTTCTTCAGTGATATTAATTGACTGTAGTTCTGTTTGTAATGTGGCGGTGAATCTGTTCAAATCCGCTTTGCTGGTATTATAGATGTGGGTAGATTTTCGCTGGTTAGGTTGCCTTATTGAATTCCCAGGTTCTACATCAAACATAATCGCTCTGTGATCCGACAGAGTGACAAAGTCAGGATTAACCCTCCAGTTTATTATTTTATGGTATATGTTGTTAGTGCATGCGGTTATGTCCACAATACTTGTGTAGTCTTTATCTCCTCTGTGTGCCCAAAATGTTGGTGTACTTCCTGTGTTAAGTATGTTTAACCCCAGTTAGGCTAAGGTCTCAGCGACGGCTGTTCCCCGTCCATCCTCCGCGCTACAACCCCACCAAGGACTTTTTGCGTTTATATCCCCTCCAAATATGACATGGTCGTTTCCCAGTATGTCAATGGATTTTGATATCTTTCTTAAATCTTCATCGATGTTTTGGCCTTCTTCCATATAAGCGTTCACAATACTAATATCTAGGTTATTAATTTTAAAATTACACGCGACAATGTTTTTGGTAATAGTTTCAGGGTTTATAGTATATTGTATGGACGGATCAACGACAATGACAGCCGACTTGACTGGTTTTTGTGTATCTGTAGTGTATTTTTGTATAACTGCATTGGGGCTGGTAATGTGTGCTTTTGCTCCTACATAGGGTTCCTGTATTAGGAGAATAGCCACTCCTTGCGTTTCGGCCGCCTGCAGGCATTCTTGTTGGGCTAATTGTCCCTACCGAGATTGATTTGAGCAACTTTTATTTTTCCATATTTTCTGCTCGAAGGTCTTTGTGGGGAAACGTCGGTGACTTTAGCAATACGTGATCGTTGCTCTTGCTATCCGATCCCATTTCCTCCATTCCAGACATTCTGAGCTATATGCAGGGTGTGCACTCGTCGTGTCACACTCATTCTTTTCTACGCAGTTTTTGCACTTAGGCGCTTTATCTCTATTGTGACACTCTCTGGTGTCATGTTCCTCAGCGCAATACCCACAGCATGTTTTTTGAGCTTGGCACTCTCGTGCTCGATGAGAAAACCCAAGACATCGATAGCACTGAGTAACCGGTGACTGATCAACTGCTGGGACTATCTAAAAGCCGAGTCTGATTTTCTTGTCTCTTAATTTGCTCCAGATTTGTGAGCTTACTTCGAGTATGATGTTGCTTGTGGAGCTAGTTCTACCCTTTATTCTTCTTACTACTCTGACGTATTGTTGTGTTGATGAGATACCTTGTAAAAGAGTGCTGTTTTGCTTTATTATTGCTTCTTCGATCTTTTTATCGGTTAGGTCAAAGACCACACCTATTACGCGTAGGAGTGGGTTCTTAATAGTCGGCCTATAGACCGTCAGCTTGGCTGTGTTGTTCTTTAATTTTTCTTGGAGGATGCTTCTGTCCTCTTCAGATTCACAGCTAATGAGAACTTTTTGATTTTTCGCTTTTCTCATGTTACTGATGCCGATCCCAAGTCCGACTACATCGACCCCGCTCTTGACCTGTTTTATGATATCATCGCTGGTGTTCCTAGGGTCAGCCGATTTCACTATCACCGGATAATGCGGCTTCGTCACCACCTCCGAGAATGTACGTGTGAAACTTTTATGTTTGAATACTGTTGCTTGATCTCTTTTCTCGCAATCGTTTATATCATCCCCTTTTAGTTAAGAGTTGTTACCAGTGAAGTCTGCTTCATTTACACCTGGTTGGTTCTTTAGCTCTTTTCTGAGGCTCTCTATTGCAATTCTAATTGGAGCTGCTGATTCCACCGTGGTGTCTCGCAGTTCTCTCGTCTCTCTTCTCAGTTCTTCCAGTTTGCCTGGACTGAGGGTAGCTGAGAATTGAATGAGGTATCAGTTATTCCTTTGATATCTCTCGTTATCTTAAGGATTTCGTGCCTTAATTCTGCTACCTTTGCTATTATTTGTGCTTTGATTTCTGAGATATGATCCTGAAGTTCCTCGATTAATTTTTTGTGATGTTTTTCCGATAACATCTCTTGGTTTGGTATCTCTGGGCTGTGTTCACCATTTTGTGACTGCGGGATTACCCTATCTTTGGTGAGTTCTCTGACCGCCTGACGGAGTTCCTGCAGCTCTTCGGCGAAGCGAGATAAGTCAATTTCTTGACAAGTAGGGTTCTTAAGGGTGTCGGTGTTCGCCCGGAGTTGCTTTAGTTCCTCCATCAAGAATTGTATCTGACTCGAGATGGATGATCCTAAGGTTATTTCTTTACGTACATTGACGATTTCATTCTTTGTCGCCGTTACCGCCTCACAGAGGTCATACGAGACAATTGATCGGGTAGATTCTGTTTCTTTCAAAAGCTTTTCTACGTTCTCTTTTAAGTTAGCATATTGTCCTAAAGTCTCGTGCATGAACCCTGCATGCCTTTGTGTGAGCCTTTCTGATTCACCTGAGACATTTAGTTTTTGTGTGCTGGATTCGAGTATGTGTAAAATTCTCGAATCATACAATTTGAGGACCATTTCATATAATGTATATATCCCCGAGACGACACTTTCCCGGATTTCCCTCTTTAGGTTTCCAGATTTTTCCAGCTCTGCCTTCGTTCTTTGCAGTACTTCGTTGGCATGTCTGGGCAAATCATTAAGGAGCATCCGGTTTCCTCCAATCGACCTCGTGGAAGTATTGAGGGACGTGTTAGTGTCTCCACTGTCAATATCCGACTCTGCGATGTCTTCAGTCTTCGACAACGTTTTTAGGACTTCTTTGGCTTCTGCAGCCCTCGCCTGTTTTATAACTTATAAAACTATGCTATTTTGGACCCATTTGCTTTTCCTGCGGTACGAAAGACTATTTCTGCATATTTTAGGAAATGGGTCTGACAGTCATCGTTGTTAATAACGTATTTTAGGGTAGTATCATTAATTGAAATTCCCATCTTCTGCTCGCATTCCAATATTTTCAAAGCAAATCTCGGGCAATCTATTAACAGATGTAAAATTGTTTCGTCTATTTCACTACTGCATGCACAAGATGGGGACTGCGTTAATTTGTATTTGAATAAAAACGCCTTAAAACCTCCATGACCTGTTAACAATTGCGTCTTAACGTTATCTAGTTTAATATTTTTAAGTGTACTGTGTGCTTATCTTATGTCCGGAAAGAATATCTTCGTGACTGCTCCTGTTGTAGCTTCATTGTATCGTTGTTGCCACCTCATGCAGGTAGAGTCCCTGATGAGTCGCTTCGCGAAGGACAGGTGGCACTTATCATAAGCTGCGGCTTGTTTGTTTGACAGCGCTGCCTTCTTTGCAAGTTCATCAGCTCTTTCGTTGCCGGGTATACCAATATGCGCTTTGACCCAGTACAACTCAACATCACCGTCTTTATTTTTTTTAATTCTCTTAAGCGTTCTCGTATTTCAACTGCAAGAGGCTGGAGAGATGAGCTGTCAGTTAGGCACTCTAAAGCTGATCGTGACTCACTTAGTATTATTGCTTTCTTTAATTTACTGATCTTGCACATTATGTCAAGTGCTTTAAAAATCGCAGTAAGTTCAGCCTGATAAACAATGCAGTAACTTTCTAACCTAAATGTTGATTTGAGTATTTCTTTCCCCTCTCTCCACACACTGACAGCGCCACCTACTTTGTCTTCTAACTTACTGCCGTCCGTGTATATTCTCGGCTTAAGGCCGTCAATTGCGTTTTCTTCTTCTTGTGTAACTAACATCTTGAAAGATACACGGTACCTTTCAGCGGGATGGGGTAGGTAGGTTAGGTTAGGTTAGGTTAGGTTAGGTTCCCCCCCCCCGAACGGGTTCCCGCCTTGTCGTGGCGGGGGGGCTTAGTAGCCGTGGCTTGGTCTCCCACGGTGAACAAAGAGGAACCCACGTGGTTGGCCCGAGGTGAAGGGCCGGCCTGAGGTGGCCACTCCGAGTGGGCTTGGGGAGCCCACTTCGGATGTGTGCTGGTGGACTGCAGCGAGTGGGAACTCCGCACCCTCTACCGCTGCAGCCGAGGTGGAGTCGCGGAGGAAGAGGAGTGTTGGTATGGCGATGCGCCACTCGCCTATCCTCCGCGACTAAGGGGCGATGGTGGGGGGGGGGAGGTGTCGGTATTGCGAGGCGCCGCTCTCCCTATCCTCCGCAGCCGAATCTTGGTTGGCGGCGGAGCCATAGACCAGATCCGCCGCTGGGGTCGGGAAGGCTAGTACTTCTAAGTGCTCGTTTTTCCTGGCCCCATGGCCTTCGCGCATCGGACGCGGGGGCGTCTGTTGCGCAGATGTAATTGGAGGCCGTGGAGGAAGGCGTGCCATGTGTTCTGGTGCGCCTTACTTGGGAAAGAGAACGGGGAGGAATATTCCTCTCCCGAGGAGGTGCTGCCATGGGGCGACAGTCGCTGGTAGGGCCGCGGAAGTGTGCGAAAGCGTTCCCGTAGCCCTGCCAATATGCGACGAAGGTGGAACACCATGGGGTTTTAGTCGGTGCGAGTCCGACATAACCCGTCCTTGCCCCCGCGAGGCGGGTATGTGTAGGCATTTCCCCATGTAAAAAAAAAGGTTAGGTTAGGTTAGGTTAGGTGAGGTTAGGTTACGTTTTTTTTTTCTTTTCCCTTCTCTCTGTTACTGCTGCTATACATGCAGCACCCTTCTTTACTGTCTTGGTTTATTACTTATACTTAGATTCCTCTATTTTTTTCCACTTAACAACTTAATTTATTCTTATTACTAATAGCCTACTTATCATATTATATATCCTAACTTAAGATTCAACTACGTTTTTTTTCTCTCAACCTTATCTTTCACTGTTTACAATTATTTTCCTTTAACATTTAATAGTGTTATTGTTCATGTATTCGTTTCAAATTTACTATTATACATTGATATTTTATTCTATTATCATTCTAATTCATTCAACAGTATTCTCTACCATCTAAGGTAACATTATTTTACTGTATTCTTGCAATTATTGAAAATTTATATAATATATGGTACTTAAATTAAGTTTAATTAAGCTATTTAGTGCGCCACCCGTCATCTAATATAATATCTACTTCTAAATAGTAATTTTTTCCTTACATTTTATTTTACCTTTTTTTTTTCTTTTTTATTAATATTAATTTACATTGTCTATATATTATACATATTATTATGTTGTTATGGAATACTATTACAGCAAGTACTATTTACAACCATTTCCTATACTATGTTATAATTATAGCTCTATAATATGTTTTTATTAATTGTTCGTCTACATTTATTATTAATATCTAACACATTTTTATTATATAATTATTAATCTACATTTTTTTTTAAATTAAATATCTACTTTCGATCCATTCGCTTTTCCTGCACACCTAACGAAATATTCTGCATATTTAAGAAAATGGATACGGCAGTCATCGTTGTTAATTACATACTTTAAATTTGTTAATTTGTTAAATTGATTGCGATAGAAGTTCGCGCCACCCGCCGAAGTGTAAGCATCGTTCTAAGTGAGCTCCGCGTTTGAAAAATCGGAAAAAATAGTTATTTTTGTGCTACAGTGAAGTGCAATACGTCAAAGTGCGCGGAATAGTATCGGCTTTGATTTGGATGCAGTAAAAATAGGTACACGATCTTACCTGTGAGGATTTTAGGGACTTTTAGCTGAATTTTTCAAAAATCAGGTAAAATTTTACCATATTTCATTGAACGCTGCAAAATCTAAAGCTACGACCCACATATATTTTTATTCTGTTGTTTGGCATTTTGCATGGTGCACACTTTACAGCTTTTTCCAGATTTTTCGGACAAGAAAATCCAGAGTTATTACAAATTTTCTGAAAACCACGTGGCCACGTGTTCCGAGATTCCGAAGAGTGCGGCTGAATTTGAAATTATACTTTTATAGACCTTGTTAATACCTCTCATAAGACGTATCGCATAAGAAAATCGGTGCACTATTTAAGTTTTCACAAATGAAAAACGGATAAAATACACAACTTGTCATTTTTAAAACTATTTATTTAAAAATCTTAAGCGATAACATATACTTCTTATCTCAATTTATTGTAGCCCTTTTAGTGTTCTAACCATCTGCAAAATTTCAGATTTTTCTATTTTGAAATAACAAAAATACACAAAATTTTGTAAAATCACTCTGCCACGTGGTCAATGTTGCAGCGCGTTTACAGAGCTAATTATTCATAAAATAGATGCCTTCTATTATTACAAACCTTTAGAAACTTTTTTCAAATTTTTCTGTACAGGCAATCAGAAGTTATTAAATTTTTAATCAATTTTAATAAATATTTCTATTTTAGTTAAAGAAATAGAAAAATAAATAAGATCAACATATAGAGTGCACCAAGACCTTTTCTTTGATACCAAGGTCGGGGGGTCTAGCTCAAACGGTCTTCGAGTTATGGAAATTTTTCAATTCTGGACGCCATATTGGAAAAACGTCAGAATTTTTAATTGACGATATCTCGGCAGCCGTTGGTCGTACGAGTGTGCGGTTTTCATAATACTATATGTGAGATCAGTCTCCGTACTCTGGAATCTTTGGTTGGTGTGTGAAAATCACAGATATTTTGGGGCTCATCATTAGATGGCCAACGTTAAACCGAGTTGAAAGAGCCCAAACTCGGTACCCTTAAGTATCATACAACATCAGATACATAAAATTGAAATAAAGTCAGCCATCTTGAACCACCATCTTGGAGATTTTCATTTTATCATAACTCTGGAACGGAGGCTCGTATCGAGTTGCGGTTTTCAATAAAGTTATTGGCTGACTCAGCACTATCAATCTAAGTGTAAATTGTAAGTCTGCTGACTATACGTAGAGTCTGTAACCAAAACTTTACAAGGCTTGTGTCAAACTGCGATTTTTAACGTAGACACTGTACGGATTTCTGTCCCTAGTCATATTATCAGAATTTGACTCTACCAAAAAAAATGTCAAATAAATCCACCAAATCATGCATAGAATTGGCAAAGTCTAAGCCCCCCAGTAGATCTATTAGAGGTGTTAGCCCGGTATCTGCACCAACTCTACGGAAAAAGGTTCTTTTACAAAATGCAACCTCAACGCAAAAAACTACTAGCTCTGCCGTAGATACGGAGAGCTCCCAAAGTGCCATGACTGAAACATCCAGGTCAAACAATCCAGATAATTTACATTGTACTATAATTGCGAAGGAACCTGTAGAGCAGGAAAATATCACTGCCGGAAATCCACATCAACATGACACTGCCTCTGAAAAGAACACGTCTATTACGATGGATATGGAGGCGGAGCTTGACATGCTAGGAATTTGCAAGCCTGCACTCCGTACCGATGATGACTGGTCAGATTCTGATAGTGTGGCAAGTGGTGGAAGCAGGAGGTCAAGCATTTTACCGCCCGCATATAAGCGGGCTGGAATTTCAATGGACTTTGCAACACAGCGCGCCAATGAGTTCTTGCTTTCAGGCAAAGAAGCATTAGAGAAAGCGGGAAATATGAAGCGCGAGTGTAAACAGGAAGTTCACGATTGCCTTCAAGGACTTTATGAAACGGTGTTATCGCTCTCGGACTCACGCTCTCGACACCGGTTCGCATTAGAACAAGAGCGTAGTCGAGCAGCAAAAGAACTAGTAAGAGTCGAGAGAACACAGAACAAACAAATCTCAGACCTGCAGTCCTTACAGCTTCAAAAGTTCAGGGACATCCAACAAGTCATCCAAGAAACTCAAAAATCCGTAGAGTCAATAAGGGGATGGCTTAACTATGAAATGGATGACCCTATTAAGGCTATCT